GGCGCTCGCCGGGGGGGCCTAACTAAGGCATCTTCTGGAGTTTTGTTCATTTTTTATGTATGAGGTTCGTAGTCTGATATTAATATATAAATCAAGAATCTCTAGAGGTCTAAACATAATTCTGAATTCAAAACAATCCTCACGCTTCCCTTCTGTCGGCGTTCGCAATCAGTATAGATGAGAAACGCTATGAACTTCTCTGATTCCACCAAAAAACCATCTAATACAATATAAAGTTAAAAGGTTTTCTGCACACCCTCTGCAGACCCCAAGGAGATTGAAAGTATTTCTGATCGATTCGTTATAACAGATTATCTATACACTATCAATAGTGGCGTAACCAGAAACTGGCTATAGATACGGCGGTGGCCGTATCGCCTGCCAAAACTTTTTGGAGGTAGTGTCTGCCAAATTCTGCAGTGGGTACGGCGAAAGTACCAATAGGTACGGCGGCCGCCGTACCTTGTTTACGCCACTAACTATCAATTTTATTACCCGTAGACCACTTTTTTTGTATTGTCACAGTTGACTGGTATCTGGCGATATCTGCTCCCGGCCCACAGAAAGCGGTTGCTGAGCTGTTTTCGTCTTTGCATCAGTAAATATTTCAGATGATGTCTTTGATTATTTTCTTATATAAAAAAATAATTTTCTGCTGTTGTCTCTTGTGATTCGCTTATCCATAGAATATCTGACAGCCATTTTTCCGTATTTTGCGCACACACACACAGACAACCATTTTGTAAGATCCTAGACTAAAGTCAAGGGAATAAAAAGCAATTATAGGAAAATAATGTGGTTTCCAGATTTCTGAATCTCTATAAACAAAATGAGAAGATATCTAATCTATCAGGGAAGTACTAATTTAGATTTTAGCGTAGAGAAATGTAGCGTTGATGAATTATGCGAATGAGAACGGTTTATTGCAGAATTTAGAGGATTCTACGCAATTCTTAACACTTTAATTAGAAAGCAATAAAAACACAAGAAGGCAGAAAAAAAGAGAAAATTTTTCATTTTGCGATGTTTTTGTGGAAGAGAAATGTTGATTTTCCTGGAAAAACGGAAAATTTTTGAAGCGGAGTTGTGGGTTGTACATGCAAACACATTATGATTGCATTGATGCCGTTAATTTGTTTATCGATTTCTGATAGATAGATAAAACAAATCAATAACCATGTCAAAACATATTCTTGTTTACGGTGGAAAAGGAGCGTTAGGAGACAAATTGGTGCAATATTTCAAAGCAAAAAATTTTGTATGTTATATACTTATTTTGGTGAAACTGTCACGTGTCAGAAGATATCCTCTGTTTTTTTTAGAAAGTAACTTCGATCGATCTCAAAGAAAACGATTGTGCTGATGTGAATATTATTCTTAGTGGCAATGAGACGTTAGAGCAACAAGCCGAATTTGTTAACGACAGTGAGTGTCAGAGTGGAATTTCGATTTTAATTTAAGTTTCTTTTTTTCTTAATATTAACATCCCAATGACGTTTGGTTATTTAGATATTAGAAAACAATTGAACAACGAATCCGTTGATGCGATCCTGAATGTTGCAGGTGGTTGGGCTGGCGGAAATGCGGAAGCAGAAGGTAGACTTGAGAGAATTTTGCTGAGCTTTTTAATCATCTCTTTTTCTTCCACGATTAGATTTTATTCAAAATTCTGCTTTAATGTGGAAACAAACTATGTGGTCATCATTAATCGTTGCCTCATTAGCTAGTAAATATTTGAAAGAAGACGGTCTGTTAACATTACCAGGAGCAGCAGCTGCTTTAGAGCCAACGCCCGGTAAGCCGTAGAGTTTGTAAAATAAATTTAATAGTCTAGTTTCTTTACTGTCTATGCTATAGGTATGATTGGATATGGTGCGGCCAAATCAGCTGTTCATCAAATGACAAAAAGTTTAGCAGCACAAAATAGTGGTTTACCCAACAATGCATCAGTTTTGGCTATTGCGCCGTATGTTTACTGTTGTATTGCTTTAATCATTATTTCTCTCATACTGTCTATATGAATCGTACGAAAGCAATTCTAATTCGTTTGTGTCTTTTTAGTATAATTCTTGATACGCCGATGAATCGCAAATGGATGCCAAAAGCTGATATGTCGACTTGGACTCCACTAGAATATGTTGCCGAGTATGTGTAGTATTGTCTTTTCTTTATTAGTTCTTACAGCGGGAAAGTTGCAGAAAATTTTCTAGTAGATGTACAGATCTCTAAAAATACATCGATAAAACTTTCTTTGCTGTGAATAGAAACTTTCCGTTCTGAAAAGAAGCGAGAAGTTTGCGCGTCCCAAATCTGTCGTTGAGTTTTTAGTCTACATAGATTTTTTTTCGTTTAGAATGTTCTATAAATGGATCGATGAACCCTCTTCGCGACCAAAAAATGGTTCCATAATCAAGCTGAAAACAGCAGATGGAAAAACAGATTTAGAATTCCATTAAAGCTCTATTAGATCACTCTATTCTAATATTCGTTGTACTTTCTTCTCTGGTGTGTTGTATTCATGGTCAACATGTATTGTAACTGTCAATGTATTCTGGTCAACATTATAGTCAATTTGACAAATTAGTGGCTTTTATTTTATTTTTTCACTATTATTGGTAATTTGATATATTTTTTTATTTTACATAGATTGATAGTTTCACTGTGTCAATTCTTATCTTTTTACAAAATTGTTCGCTTTTGTTTTAAACATATAATTTTTTGGATAGATTTTTTTCACATTCTGCAATTTCATGACACATTCCTTTTTCTGTAATACTATAGTACACACGATATTGCATACATAAAAATTACTAAATATACTTTTCGTTATTTTTATAAGGAAAAAAAAGGATTATCTTTTTTTTTCTCAAACTTTTCATCTCAGTCGTATACTTTTTTATTAGATTATCTAAAACGTACAGGCAGGTTAAAAATATTTATGTTCGACTCATTACCAAAAAATAAAACATACCGAGAGTAGAAAAGTAGGCTTCATTCATTTTAAAATTGGAGGTTTGATCGGGAATTCTCTATATCATCTAAGTTTCGTCACATCGGTATGCGTAAAAAAACAAACAGTACCACTGAGTCTTTTGCACACATTGTTGCCTCTCACAGCCTCCTAAAGAGATTTTCCGTATTTTATTTTTTATCCAGATGTTTTTGCTTGAAAAAGCAAAAGTAGTCTTCTATTGCTGTATAAATTGATATTAAATGTATAGCAAATATTCTATTGCCAATAATATACAAAATAGACGTCGACAACGAGGATGAAGAAGACGAAGTAGAAGATGAAACTCGCTTGTATCCACATGTATTGAAAAAATATCATTAATATTAAATAAATTATTGTTACTCAAAGAATTAGCTAAATATACGAGATGTGATAGACCATATTTAATAAACTAATTATGAAGGAAAAATTAGCAGTAGTATTAATCAATATAATACGGTTAGATTTTCAATATTGTTGACTATTGATAAAATCATTTTCAAGATTAATTTTAATTAAGAAATTTAATTGAACCAGTTGGTTTACGCAATATTCATATGATCTATACTATTTGATAACAAGCTTCTGTAGGTACACTTCGTTATTTACATTTATTACTTTTCTGATATTTCGTTTAATTTTCTTCAGTTTTTAAATATTACTTTGTACCGATAATAGTCAACAAAGCTATTACGTCAATTATTGAACAATACATTTGTCAAATCAATTATCGAACATTTAACACAAATAATTATGGATGCCATCTTAGTGTAAGAAGTTATTCAATATTTATTATCGACCTTATTTGAAAATATAAATTTTACTTTTCATAGTGTACATGCTTCGTTTTCGTAATTTCTTACCTTCATCTTCTAACGTTTGCTTTCGTGAAAAGCATAAATTTTCTTTTCAAAATATGATTCCACTTAGTAAGCGTATCTGATTGTTTCATATTTTTTCTCGTGAAGAAGTATTTCACGAATAATTGCTTTCAGTTAGACGAGAATTGGAGATTTTAATCTTATACTCGATAGCAGAGTCGAAAAAATGTTTTAAAGTTGATTGTTTCTTTTTGTTTTTTAGTCACTATGATATTGCTACACAAAATAAAATTGACATGAATGATGGACATGTTGACTCGTTTTTAAATTGAATTTTGAAATACCACAGCAATGTCAGATTTTTGTCATCTTACTACATGGTAATCTGCATGTAATTCATGTATATATTCATTTGTCTCAGGTATTTGTTCATCTTTATTCAACTCGATAATTGAATGTCAAATGTATTCGTTTACACGAAATTGTTTTTCTGTGCTCATTTTTTTTGTTGAATTCTAACGTAGTCTATTTCTTCGCTATGTCAATTTTCTTTGTTTTCATTACAATGATCATAGTTTATAGCTACTTTTTCGATTATTTTTCTTATGAAAATCTAAATAAACGAGAAAAAAAAACGAGTTTAGCTCTATTATGTTTTATGATTGATTTGACAAATATTATTAAAGAGTCTTATATTTCTTGTACTTTTTCACTATTATAGTTTCAAATGATCGATAATAAAAGTTCATTAACACCGTATCGCGGTCGTGATTGGCGATATGTCCAACCAAAATTATTATATGAACTCGGTATAAAACAATTAGTAACTATTCTATTACAACATAATAATTCCTTAGCAAAAATTGAACATTTATTATTAAATGAACAAGCAATATTTTCTACAAGAATAGGAAATTTAATATTAAAAGAGTTTATCGATCAAATACATACAATGAAATCATACAATAATGATGAATTTTTAAATTATTTTTCTTCTGGTACAATAGCACACACAAATCGTATACATTCGGATTTAAATGTTCATGCATTACACTTCATACCAAGAAATTCTCCTCCAATATCATCAAATTTTGCATCATCAATTGTCTTTAATTTACCTGATCAACATGAACAATCATTATTTAATAGCATGCCACCAGGAAAAAATTTTCGAACACTTTCTTTGGAAAAAAGTGATGAACAACCAAAAAAGAAACGTACATCATTGAATCATCATCATATGTGGACTAAATCAACATCAAAAGATCCGTCTATCTTTGTTACATGTTTAAATTTTCAATATTGTATATTTATTACAAATAATTCAATAAAACAATTAATATCTCAACAGTTAGTTGATACAATTGATTTAAGAAATTGTTTAATAACAGTAAAAATCTTTAAAATATTATCCGATTATTTTCCACGATTAAAATGTTTACGTTTAGGTGTGATAGATACTGGTTGTGTATCATCATCGGTATCTATGTTTGTTCATAATGAATGTGAACACTATCTGAAAAAACCAACATTACGTTCATTTACATTCGAAGGTTTTGAACAAAATCATCAACAACATACTATTATTCAACGTATATTTAATAAAACACTCGAATTCTGTTCTCAACAATTACAGTATCTTGATTTATCACGAAGTACTTGTATACAAGAATTGACTAGTTTTATCTATGTAAAATCCAGTTTGAGTACATTAATATTATACGATATTTCACCTGTTCTTATTGAACTTTATTCAAATATTATATGTGAATTGAAAACACTTAGTACACTCGATTTATCACGTTCAAAAATTTCTGTAAACAGTCCAACAGATAATTATAAAAATTCAACCTTATTTCTAGCCAAACTTGTTTATTCATTAGAACAATTGAAATCATTAGATATTTCTGGAACAAATTTAGGTGGTGAACATACAATTCGATCAAATGAGGATGAAAGAGAATATTTATGTGAAAAATTAAATATCACGTGTGATAAGTACGTATAATTTGATAACGAAACATTACCATCAGAGATCATTGTTCTGTCTCTGTCGTATCCTGGTCTGGTTTGCAAAAGGGTAAAAATTATTTTAAAAAAATAAAAGATTTTTCTCAGATATACAGTTGTAAGAAGTGTAGATTACTACTTTGAAGTTACGTACAATAGAATTCTAGCGTAACGATACCACCGTTCGGGCGTGGTAGAATTTCTTCGAAGGCACTCCTGTCAGACGACCATGATGTCTGGTAATCTCGGAAGTGAATTGAGCATAGCTTTTCGACTATTCTAGATCTTGGGCAATGTTTGTTCTTAGAAAAAACTTCAGAAAATTATAAGGTCTTCATTTATTTTTCTTTAGATATCTAAAAGGCTACTTGTAGAAATTATAAAATTTGAGAAAGTTATGTAGACAAAAAATTTTTTTCGAAATCAGTATGTTTGGCTTTTTAATCGAGTGACTATAACGTTGAAAGAAAAGCATGTTTACTTAGGCTTGAGATCACATGTTGCAGGCTAAAATCTAAACTACTGACTCTATCAATTATTTTCATTGGTAGATAATTGTCGAGAAAAAACGCTCGTATTAGAAAACTTTGAGTAAAAAATTAATCTATCTGCTTTCAGCTTCGTTTTAAGAGTAAATCTATCACAAAATTGTTTTCTGGTTAAGAAATTTCACTTTTATCAAAATGAATAAAAATAAAGTAAAAAATCGTCTGATATGCTTCAGAACACAGTTATTATTCAAGAAATAAATATTTTCAGATAGAAAAAAAGATTAAGATAGATTGAGATTTGACCTACCTGTACTGGAATCAAATTCAAGTTTTCTCACTCGCGAAGTTTGTCGATTCATTTTTAAGTTCAATTTAATAGAAACAAAAGCTATTATGTATCAGGAAGTTTATCTATTGTGAAATGAGAAAATTGTTTTCATCATTCACACACTTCTTGTATTTGTTTCATTTTAGACGAAATGTCGAATCAAGTATCCCAGGTTTATTATTATTAAAAGCACCGCTTGAATTTCTCGGCGTTCTTGATTGCGATCAAAATGTAGCGATGCGACCAAACTTACCAGCAAAAAAAGTCTATATATTTTTTATTTTAAAACGAATAAAATCAAAATATATTTCATTGTTTTAGATTGCTGGAGAATATAGTGAAAATCAGCTATTGACAGCGATTCAACGATATATAAATCGATCGGAAATGATTACACATGTTGTAACACATTTATTTCGATTTTATAAAGATACGTCATTGGAAAATTTTAAATATGGTGGAGAGGTAGAATTTATAGCTAAAAGAAGAATCAATATTATGTTATGTACCGTTTGTTTTCTAGCTGTTGATGGAATGCATGGATAAACACATTTACAATTTACATATTCAAATTAGTGGAAGTGCTTCCTTATTCTACATAATTAAAGCTCATCATCAAAAAGATGAATCATCTGAATTAGAATATTTTTATGTAAGACAAATTGTCACTGTTATACTCAACGCAATGACAATACATTCAAAAGATAATGGAGTAAGAATTTTCATATATATAAGTGTATATTTACTATGAATTTTTTTTCTTGTTTAGATGATGCGTAATGGTTTACTTTCACTCATTCATTTGCAATTACCAGATGATATTGTAAGTTTTCTCATCTAAATTGTGATTCTCTTTATAAAAGAAAAACTTATCCTTTATTCTTCAATGGATAGATGTTTGCCTGTGAAAAAGCATTTAAGGTGTTATTGGAATTACTTAAATTGCATATAAATATGAATATTAGTTATGAATCATTTGTATTAAGAACGGCCATGTATTTATTAAATTGTATGGCATGCACCGCTGATGGTAGTTAAAAACACTAAAAATATCACACGTCAGTCATCTACTTGTCTATATTATTTTTGTTCTAGGTGAAGAAAAGCTAGCTGTTGGAAATTTTGGCGCAATTGAAGTAAGTTTGACTTTTTAGAGAGAATCATTGCCAACTACTTTTACATTTTATTCGGTTTAAGGTTATGATGAATCTCATTCAAAAACGTATTCACACGGAAGATGCCGACGAAATTCTTGAAGTAGCATGGGCATTTTTATGGAATATTACCGGTACTCTTTTTTTCCATCATTAATAACGTTGGTTTGTTGTTAATTAGGTTCTCTTTGTAGATGAGACGGCTGAAAACTGTGTGCGATTTGTCACTCAGAACTCTGGTTTACAAGCGTTTCAAGATTGTTTAACCTTGTTCGAATCAAAAGAAGCAATTTTACGAAATATGATGGGCTTGATGGTAAATAGCTCTTTTATTTATTCTTCTTTATCTTACAAGTATCTGTTGATTTTAGGGAAATCTTGCTGAAGTACCAACGTTACGATCTCACCTTGTGAAAAATGAAATATTACAACATCTACAGTATGTCATTCTCTATTTTGAAACAGTTTCATATTCGAATATATATTTTAGACGTTTGGTTCAAAAGCCAGAATGTTCAATTGAAATTGCGTATAACGCAGCGGGAGTTTTAGCTCATATATTCTCTGATGGACCTTCTTCTTGGACTGCGGATCAAGTTGATAGAACTACATTATGTGATGAATTATTTGAAATTATTCAACACTGGGATGTTAACTTGGAAAGAAATATCAATTATAGGTGAGAGCAAGATCTTTGTACTGTGTGAAAATAAAACAGCCGTGTTGTATATAGGATAATTTAGAGTTTTATAGTACTATCGGGAGGAAACTTTTTTACATTCCCACGCCTCTCACTTTTGGAATTCCACAAAGATTGAGAAACTCCTCTTCAACTTTCTTTATCTCACACTTTAGATCATTTTCTCCCATACTACGTCTTGTAAAACAATTTGACGAACCGTCCGCTCAGATTTGGGGTTGTTGGGGTTTGGCTAATCTAACCTCTGTATTTGGTAAGCTATAAAAAATAATCTCACTTTCTGTTTTATTTCGTGTTTCTCTATTTGTTATTTTTTAGCTACAAAATATTGTCCATTGTTACATGCAGAACATGGCGATGTATTATTGAACGATATTGTCAGACACAATTCAGTTCATCCAAAAGTCAAACATCTTGCATCCCTAGCGCTTGAAAATGTCTGCAAGTACGTATAATAAACAGAAGAGAAAAATATAAATTTCTGAAAGAGAAATGAAATTCATTTCTATTTGCTTTATTGCCTATAATCCCTTTATTTTAAAAAAATAATGATCGTTTCATAGTCTTCCGTAAGACAAGCTCAAATTTCTTAGTTAGTTAACGTATGCATTTTTTTACATAAATTATTTTTCTAATCATCTACAGTCTATTAAGTCGAAAATAATGGGTGTAGTTATTAAAATTTAGTCTTTTATTTTTAGTTATCTTAAAACTCCGCCATCAGATCTCGCAATGATGGATGTTGAACAATAAAATGAAAGAATATTAGAAAATCCGTTTATTCAATATGATCTTTCTTTAAAATGTCATATATTTTTAAGAAGTTCATCTCTTCTACTTTCTTTCATATCATTCTTCTGTATACAAAGAACTAGTTTTTTAGCTTATCCGATTTAAGTTGATACATGTTTGTATAACCGTGAAAATATGATTTTTATTCAATATTGCTTCTAACTTTCGCTCGATCTTTGTAAATGTTATATTGTTGAGGCACAAAACATGTGTTGATGTTTTTGATAGATATGTATACTCTGTTACCAAATAAAAACGCATATATATATATTTTAGACAAACCTATTTATTATAACTATTTTTTTTGTTGGTTTTCTTTTTGGTACTATTTAAACTAGATTCTTTTTAATTTATTTCTCTGTTCTTGCAATTTTTTTTTTGTTCTCTGTTTTTTGTAAAATATTTTTATGTGTTCTTTTTTGACGATAATGTACACATTAATCCACATCTAGATGATTTATAGAAATATCTCAAGTGAGATCAATGTTTAACAGACATAAACAAAATCGGAGCATTGATCACGCTTTAGATAATTGCAATTATTTATCTACACGCTTGAGCAAAGGCAATAGTCAGAAAAAAATCCTATGAAAAAATATTTTTCACTGAGACGCAGTTTTGTTAGCAAGATTGTCAATAAAAAAAAAACAGTTATTTCTTTTCCCATGTAACTATCGACCATTGTTGCGTGATTAACGTGCTACTTATAGAGTAAGTTAATTCTGATTTGCTCCATTAGTTTCTTTTGCTATAGTAAGATAAAATCTATTAAATTTTTTCATAATAAAAGAAGAGAGAAAGAAATATAATAATCACAGTTTATATTTGACAAAATTGAAAAACCAAATAAGCCGTACACTATTTGTATGAAAAATATCGGTTACAAAAGTACATTAGTAAGTGTAAGAGATAAACGACATAAAACTGAAACCTAAAGTATGCAGGTTGCACTATGCATTTGTTCAACAAAATGTTACGAACAACGAATCAAGAATGAAACGAACGCACTTCATATTACCTTTAGCTTATCTGTCACTCCATATGCATTCACGTGTTTCAGAAACTTTGGGTAAATGAAAGAAAAACTATACAAAATAAAAAACTGAAGTTATAGAAAACTTTTGTCTGTTAAAAAACAAATCTCAATAACGTTTTTGACCTAAATTGAATGAGCATAACGGTAAGGAATAAATAAAACTAGAGCACAAAATGGAGCAAAAAGAATATTAGATATATTAGATTAAATTCTATCATAGAGCTTAACTCTCATTAACATTTTTCTGAAACTAAATTTTCAAATTTATCCAAAGTATGAGAGTTCGTGGAATGCAAAATCGAAGATAGATAAGTGTTATCATCGCATATAGATTTGGACTGAGTTCACGTAAGGTTTACAAAAACAACGAAAAATTGATAAACAAATTTCTTGATTAAAAAAATAATGTCTTTAAGTATAAATTGCTTGCGCACATTCATAGAAAAAGAAAGCACCGTCACGAAATAATCTTAATTGCATTATATCTTTAGTACTTAATGATTGTTTATATTGTGTACTTTTTCGTTGATCGTCTAAGAATCGGAAAAACTTTTCTTCATATTTGACGGCGGTTGCAATCCATTCTTCAAAACTTTCTGCATGACTAACCGACGGTATATTAATTTGATCATCGATACGATCCGACATACTATCAAAAAATAGCCATTGATCATTTTCACCTTGTGATGCTGTTTGTTGTAAAAAATGTTGTTTTGGACTTGCTTTACATTTCACAAATGCGACATAATGACTTTTTTCGATACATAATACGGCAAATAATTCTAGGACTTGTTTATTCAATGCTTTATTACCAATTTGTTTTACTGAATGTTTCTCGTCTACAAGTTGTTCAGGTGTAGTATGTATCTCCTTTACACAATTAAGACAAAAACACATAACCTTGCTCATGCTATCCTGCACGTATTCTAATGAACACTGTGGACAATGGAAAAATTCTCGCTCTTTTTCGCTATTTTTCGCTGTTACTCCACATTTTAAACAACATAGTTGTACCAGATCATCATCTAATCGAATTTTTAAATCAGGCGTAATATACTTATACGATCGTTCTGTACGTGAGTGTCTTGGAGCAACTAATATCAAAAATGGTGGTACACCAGCCAATTTTTGTTGAAATTGTCGTAATGAGTTTGTAAATAAAGTTTGCACATTCGTTGATGATTTTTTTTCAATATTATCGTCAAAACATTCCCAGATAAAATTTGATGTAATATTCGAATAATCATCCTTTGGTTTTTCATCATATTGAATTGTTTTTATTGGTGAATAATGAAATAGTTTTTCACATGCACGTAAAAATTCCGTCGGATCTTTTTCATCATTGGAAAATGTTTGATCCTTTGTTGCTTTACCTAATTGTTGACGTAAATGCAATATGGCTTCACGCCGAACATAACCCTTTCCTGAACGTAAAACATGAGCAATATTATCACGTAAGAGTGTCTGAACATTGGAAATCGCTGAATCTTGTTCGTCTGAATGTGGATTATTTTTAACTTCTGGTGAATATATTAGTTTATCAAACACATCATTATAAGCAAACATGCAATACAATGTAGCATCGAGATAACATGAATTTGATTCACCTTGTATACCAATATTTTTTCCAATTAATGGCTTTTTTAAGGGTGGTAGTTTATTACGTTCGCACCTCAGTTCTTGAAGTGATGTTTCACTGCTTTGTGCCGAGACCAATTTGTCATATAATGATCGACTTGTAGCATAATATCCACGCGAGGGAGAAAGTGGAACATGCCGACGCTGACATATTGGACATAAACCAGTATAACCGCTCAATGGCTTGACAGCCTCGATTGCATATAACTCCTCATTCTCACATGTTACTCTACCTCGTACCTGATATGGAAAACCGGGTAGCCAGGTGTTATCTGGAATATCGACAGTACGTTGTGTATGATTAAAAGTGATGCCCTGTGGTGCTCTTGCGTCCGGCGGTTTTGGGTTTAATTGAACCGATGGCTGACGATCATCATTCGACACATTTCTAGAAAATGGCGGTTGACCGCCACCTACTGGTGGAGTAGTCAGGTTGGAACCTAAAGATGCATAGTTACAGCTTACTATTAGGTTCCAAAATTAAGTGCTGGAGAAGTTTCCAGAAGAAGAAAAAGAAAATTTTAACTTACTCCTGTTTTTCGGGCCATCAGAGTGTTCATCACCCATAGCTGTTCCAAAACACAATACCAAAATATGAGTATCTGAAGTGAAGTAAAGTTTTTACACAAAGCGTGAATGACGATTAATAGAAATAGTAACTAGGCAGTACTATTTTAAAACTGAACTGTTAGTTTATCATACGATTGTATTTGATGGACTTCTACCGTTATAATACATCGCTCCTATACCGTTGTTCGCTCAAATTTTAGCGGAAACTGGCTCCGCTTGGAATCACAGAGTATATGGATAGTTTCATCTCAGAGTCGCTGTTTTTTCTAAAAAAACACTTGAATTCAGGTAAAGCTTTTTAATCATCTGTAGCAGTACAAATTTACAGAAAACTGTCTTTTCTTATATTTTGACACCTATTATTTGTCCCCGTAAGAAATTTGACACAAGCCTTTCACTTCTAAATCAGCTAAAAGTTGAGAAAGCAAAAAGAATCACAGATGGCATTGATCGCTTGACACCCGTACTAAAAAGACACATACTACAAAGAAGCATGATCTTATAGTATTTTTATCTAGAAGAGGAGAAAAGGTATAAATGACAAAAAAATTATGAAAATATGTTGTCACAAAAAAGTAACTTCAAAAACAACAATATTAGATTACAGAAAATTTTTCCCTTTATCATTAATAAAAGACACAAAATAAAAGCAGAAGCTGCGAATAAGATCACATCTGACTTTTATATCTGCTGTAACCCAGGTTAGCACGACAGAAATAAATCTTTTTAAAAGAGAAATTGTTCCTTCTTTAAAATGAGGAGAAACAGCTCTTCAAAATCTTTGTACAAGTTATACCTTTGGAAGAGGGCATATCCATGTTTTAATGGAACTATTAGTTGATGCTATAACTGACCCTGGAAAGAGAAAATTAACTAGGAATACATGCCATTTATCTATTGCAGCATTATATTATTTTGGCATACACAAGCAAGAGCTATACAATGAAATCATAGAGAATTTAGCTTGTGATTTCAAATCCGTGCAACACCATCGTATAACAAGAAAAGAAACGTAAGTGTGCTAGTGCATCAGCATCGGAAATATTGAATCCGATTCTATCAAATTAAGCTTCTATAACATCTGAATCCTCAACAATCGTACTACAGCAAGGAATAAAAATAAACTATATACTTCAAATATGATGCTAATCAACGTATAACCATGGCTAATATCTAACCAATAATTATATTCTTTGTCTTTTGAGTATTTGACAACGACCTGCATTATAATTGAACATTTTTACTTTTTTATTATTGCTTGTTATTGTGACGCGTATGATATTCTCTTCACCAAGAAATCTAATGTCTAATATTTGAATACTATCTCTAATAAACTGAAAACAGGATAAGTAAAACTTATTCATTACACCACGATTAAATAAATCTGTTTTGTAACTTCAGGGTTTTTACAGTGCATGAAACAATAGTATCAACATAAAATAGTTTTCTTTATTATAAAATGTTTGTTGATGTTGATATTCTTTAATAATACGAACATGGTCAAAACTAGAACGAAATAAATGAACATAAATACCACGATGTTTGATTTATCTTCGAATTTTGTAGATATTTGTTACAAGAAAGTAGAATAATTTCATAAAGAAAAGATCAAAAACTGGTCATATATTTTTTTCTATTCGGCTTAACTGAATCATCATATTTAGCTGATCTTATCATTTTTGTCTACAACTAATGTTGTTGCTAAACCCGTACAAGCAACCATTCAGAATGGTAGCGATTGTACTTGAATAAAAATTCTGAGTATAAAGTTTACCGTCATCATTCGTAACACATACCAAAGCAATAGTAAGAAATGATGTGACAGATTAACTTACCGTGTAATTACCACAGTGCCTTTCAAATTACGTGTATAATACCGATGCTGACCATTCTACTGGAAAATTCAAACACTATTAATAAAATTTTTGACGTATTTTGACTTGATATTCGAATGATATTTTGACTCACTATCTCGAATACATTTATCTATACGTAATATATGGAAAACAAATGTTGATCATCATGCTATTGGTCGTCTGTGTAAACTTACTACAATTTGTTTATGATGTGTAGTTGTCTTTCAATCATGGCACCATGTCAATATCAAACTAGTCTAAAAGTAAAAAGATGTTAAACAAGTATTCAATATACTATTAATGATAAATCATAAACAAATAAATCACTTTTGCAGAGAATCTCCTCAGAAAAGTCACGGCGGTTTACCGACTAATTTTATTCAATAATTTCAAAATTGAACTAAATCTGCCCCGAAATGGAACGTTTTTCAATACGCTTCTCTTTATTAGATTTCTATGAGATCTAGATTAATTCATATTACTGTAGTCGAATAATGTTTCATAAATATAATACTATTCTGTTCTATCGCTCATCACTTTTTGAGAGATCTTTTCTACAAAAGTGAAAGGAAAAAAACAGCAGTTGTAATTTGAGCAGGTAAAGAAGAGAAGAAGCAGCACTTAAAATCTTGGACGGATAACACATATGCTCGGCAACTGGTATAGATTGGCTGACGGAGAGCAGTAGACGTCGTTACCAGTAGTGAACTATTGTAAGAAAAACTACAACGTTCCATTACCACACCATAGAGTAAAAGATCGAAAACAATAAGATTTTATAAGTAAATAGCATATAGCAATTGCATAAGTTCCGAGAAACGCATTTAGATTGGCGTAAAACTGAGCAAACAAATGTTCATCTATTCGATGTGGATGAATATAGTCTGTATGAGAAACACTATGAGAAATATAGAAGAAAATGTAGTAATTTAAAGAAGTTTAATTTTAAATATCAATAGTAAGGAGTAAACTCAGTGAAAGTGTAATAGAATGGATTTTTTACATTGTCTAAAACTTTATTCTGAGAAGAAACCGAAAAATATTATCACAAAGCAGGTCCCATTCGATTGGGCAGAACGTTTACAAACAACACGTCGTTCGATAATCGACCAATTGAGTCGCTTGAAAATCGAAGAAATATATTTAAGAAATTTATAAATTAAACATGAAAATGATCAAGCTGATAAAACAAATCAGAGTCTTAAACAAAATCCATTAACGACAAATAGTCTATCAGTAACAACAACAACGTCGACGGTAATTCAAAAATATGAATATTCCGATGATGATAACAAAAGTGAGCGCTTAATTAAACGAGCTCGTTTCGTTGCTAATAATGATGAAACAGTTATTAATCAAACCCCTCTTGATCTCGATTTGTGACAAGGAACTTGATATTTGTTGTTTTTTCTCTATACTACAATTATAAATTTTTGTAAAGCTCATTTAGAGCCCTTAAATTCAGTTCAACGTCTTGCTGCTCGCATCATAAGTGGTGACTTTGTCTCTTCTTCTTCAGAAGTCTCAGAAAATTGCCCACTCGAATGCTAACGACGGAGAAAAATTGCCTGCCTGAAATATTTCTGGAAAACGTTGATGGGATGTACGGCTCTAGCCCGTTTTTCCTTTATTTCGTTTTCAACAACATGGCATTCTCCCCGCAAACACTTATTTCAAATTGAAGTACCTAATTTTTCTACATCGGTTATGAGTCATAGTTTCTTAATTCGGACAATAAAAGACTGAAACAGCTTAGCGTCCGATGTTGTGACACTCTTCTTTCAATCTATTTGTGTTAAAAATACAACAGTTCCTCTAAGAACTAGTCATTTGTAATTTGTAATTCTTATTTTTATTTTTGTGTGTATTTGTGTGCCATGGGATAGACGTCTATAAGCCTCCAACTTTTATCTATGCCCTTTCTCTTTGCCACTGAGAATAAATAAATAAATAAATAAATAAATAATAATAATAATAATAATAAAGAAATGGTGTTTTTAAATTGCCGTTAAATTAAAGAATCCTCGTGGTTTTGTTTGCTATGATTTCTATTTCGATGAGTGCGTCTGTCTATTTCCCATGACTAGTGAGACACTAAGATATATAATACGGTCTGAATGTTGGGTCTTTCCAAAATATTTACTGGCCATAGCAGAGGAAAAACATGCGTCGCATTAAAGATGTTTCTTTGGAATGAGGCGTTAAGATATATGTCTGGAAAACGTTTTTTCATTCTCTCTGAAATCTTATAAGATTTTGTTCTTATACCTTACTGTTTTTATTTATTTCATCCATCGCCTTGTGTTTATCTACAATTGAGTCAGAAATGTTCAGCAACGTTTAATTAATTTTAGCATAAAGAAATTTTGAGACACTTTGACTTTTGGCTTCGAAGGTGTGATCTGGCACGATATTTTCAGATAATCTCATTTTTAGATTGCAAAAGAATATATAACCATTCTTCTAGATTTTCTAGTTTTTACAACTGATTTTCTAAATAAAACATATAATTTTTGAACTCTATCTCTTTTTTAGATTATTTAATAGACGATCGTTGTCTTTGATCGTTTATTCTTATTTAGCATAGTTGCTCGGGCATGTCTTGGTTGTGAGAGACACAGTCGATATCACTGGTATAGGCAACTTTCTTTTAAGTATTCATAAAGTTTTACCGAATTTGATTGACTATGGCAGCTGGGGATTCTGATGACAAAACATTGTAAGTGATAAAAATTGTTTGTATATTTTTTCATATAATATTTGGTTTTTTTCTAGACCATCGAGTCAGAATTATTATGATCTATTAGGAATTTCAAAAACTGCAACAGAAGAAGAAATCAAACGAGCATATCGAAAAACCGCTCTCAGACTTCATCCCGACAAAAATCCTGATCCGAATGCAGCGTCACAATTTCAAAGTGTTGATAAAGCATACAAAAGTATTTTTATTCTAAATTTCTTGAGACACTTAATAAGATATTTATTTCATCAATTTAGTATTAAGTGATCCAAAACTGCGTAGTACGTACGATCAATTTGGAGCAAATGCAGCGGATATGATGAGACGGATGAATGATGATTATGCTGATATATTACAAAGAATGCCGGCATGGAAGAAAATTTTAATCACTGTAAATATATCCACTGATATATTTCACATTAGAATTTCATTTTATATTCAATTTTAGGTCTTATGTATCTCAACTTGTTGCTGTTTCGGAGGAGGATTTTGTTGCATATGTGGTTGTGGATTTTGCTGTAATTTTTGTTGTAATTACTGCTGTGGAACGCGTGTGCCCGAAGAAACTTATGAAGCATTCAGTGTAAGTGAAATAGTTATTTAAACATGCTGCCGTTTTGTTTATTCATTGGTTTTCTTTTTTTTGTTTGTTTTGTTCACACGTAACCAAATAGTTGTCAAGTAGTGCTTGGTTTTTTCTAGGAAGAAGCTGTTCGAACTACAGAACCAAATGTAAATGCAACAAATGAATCAGATCCCGTGCTTAAACAACCAGAAAATACTATTATCACATTAGGAAATTCTGAGCCATTTAAAACAACTTATGAAGCAACATCTAATACTCAACAATAACAAGTGACAAAACAATCTTTCTTCACAGAACATAAGTAGAAACGTTTAATACTCAACTAAAAACCGAAAAACTCTAACTGATTATCTCATTCCAAAATTAATTGATACACCTCATTTAAAGAATTATTTTTGCCAAATTATTCCTGTTTCTTATATATTTTTTTGTGCTTTGTTCGTTTATAAAGTGTCTATAATACGCACACATCCCAGTATTCTGTTTTTATTTATCATACAAAAAAAATATACAATATTTTATTTTTATTAGTTACTATGTTGTGTTTATTTTTTGTTTTTTTTTGTTTTTATATATACGATCACCTATCTACAAAAACTAGTTAACTCGTTTTTCTTTTCATCAAAGTATTTTAGTTTTTGTCTTTGTTCATATTTTTGAATTTTTGTTTTCTTGTTATTGTGGTACTGTAATCGTTAAACTAAATACTAATTTGACTCTTGTCTTATTCAGTTCAACCTGAGTCTATAGATGACTGACTGTGTGAAGCATAAAAAGTAATTTTCTCGTTACTTAATAAAAAAATTCTCAACCTGCCATGCCTCGGTTTTTTTCTCTTGAGAGAGGATTTTACTGTTTTCTCTTATATGCTATTAACGTACTGTATTTTTTTTTTGCATTTGATCTGTTCTTCATGTACGTTGATAATTCGTTAGTTTATTCACATATTTTTAATAAAGAATTTACATCTGCTGAAATGCATACACTTAAAACTTTTATTTTTACTTTTTCATCAAACGAGATTTTTATTTACATTTAGTGTCTCTAACGATGTTGTCGTTTATGATATTTAGACTTTTAATCGATGTATCGAATATTTTCGTCAGTTTTACTTAGGTTTTCCACTGATTTTCTAGCTAAATAAAATAAAAATGTATATTGAATTAGGTAAACGTTGATTAATCAACGTTTACCGTATCTGCGTCATAGAATTTGGAAAACTTTTCGGATAGTAAAGATGGTTTCGAGTGTTCATAGATATTATCTAAACTAAATCGCACATGTTTTATCAATATGCACCTGATTATGATAACATATTGCTCCATCGAGTAGAGAATCCGATGGCTTGTGATCGTTTTTTAAATTAAATTTAAATTGTTTCGATCAACTGTAAAGCGGTGCATGTGATTTCATAATGAAAATAATATAGTAAAGATATTTCCAAATTGTACATCCACTGTGAGATTTTATCAACTAAATTTTTATATTTAGATTCATAGATACTTGATAGTATTTTTCAACTTTCTAAGTCAATTAAATAACATCAAATGATATCGACTTGAATGAACTATTCAGTTACCTATTCCCGCATGAGAGATTCATCTCATTTTTTTTCTTGTAAAATCTCTTCTTTCGGACATGATTTTTGAACGTTTTTAAAACGTGTAAAAAAGATTGTTATGTAATATAGTTGCATCGTGAAATAACGACCATTGTGCGAATGTTTGTGAAGATATCATAAACTCCCTCTCAGAATAGAAGGATATGGCCGTCTATTGTGTTCCTGCAAATCAAACATTTTAGAATGGCCTTCTAATCCGAAACAAAATTTTGTAAAGTTCTGGAAACTCGTAAAAGCTTAAAAGAATTATTTTTTTCGTTGAGTTCTTTAAATTTCTTTAACTAAGCTCTTAATTCAAGAAGTTTCACTAGAATGAATCGATTACACTTTTCTATGTTCGATTTTCAGGGTTATTCGATGAAAAGAGTAATTAATAAAGAGAAGTCATATTCTCTACTTCTGTCACAAACTCCCTGCTGCGAAAATATATGCATAGTTTCATGGAGTAAAATATTTTGACTGATCTGCTCTGTCTATTGACATTGTTCTTTGTCTGTCCTTTTTTCTTAGATTAGTTTCTTATATTGTATCTTGACCAGAGCTTGATGATTTTTTGTCTCGTGCGCCATACATAATCGATTTTGTATTAAACGTATGATCTTATTCAATTGCATGTCCGGTTTTTTATATAGTAATGAGAAATCGAGTTCTCTACAATGAATTAAAATTAAATATTGATGAACAGAGAATCGAAATAAATGTGACTTTTCCGTCCAATTTTCATCGAAATTAAAATATACTTGACTATCTTCGCGTGAATAACCGAGCGTCATATGGATAATATAATCACTTCCCTCTTTTACGTCAGTCCCTCTCCATATTAAAAATGAGAAATCAGTTCTATTAAGATGTCAGAAAGACTGAGACAGATAGTCGTTCTTTCAAAACATCAAATGACCATCATACTATGCAGAAACGATATGATGTGAACAATTCCTAGAGTTCAGGTTGCTCATCAAATGGATAAGGATCTTGATCTCTAGTAAAATCTAATACAAAATCAGCACCACAAAATGGACAAACTATTTATATAATTAATGGTATATAATTAAACCATTCTCTGAAAGATTCTTCAATGATATGTGTTGATTTGGTTAAATTTGATCGTAGTGACTACTTCTTAACTTAATCATTTAAAAATTTTTCACGACTATTTATTCTTTGATATTCTTAGTTCACTAAAAGGTTTGTTCGGATTTAAATCTAATAATTTGCATCTTGGTATATTTATCATTTATCTTATTTGTTCATCAAGTGTATTCGAAACTTTCAGACCTCCGCTCTCGCGTTGTTGATGATTTTCTATAATCGATTTATAATTAACATTGCATTCTCCTTTTAACATTGATGATATATGCGGATAGTATCCGAACCGATTTTGAAATAGTTGAATACATTATCTTTTGTTTTGCTCTATTTCACTTCAGTAATGTTATATTTATATTTTTCAAAAATGAACTGTGTTTCAAAAATTTTGTATTCATTTCCTTTAATGTCTTAAATCCGTGTTTTTTCTACTGTACGAGAAAAAAGTATCTAAAAACATATCTGTTATCTTATCATAAGCTTAATTAAATTTGAATTTGAGTTACGATAATCCATGTAAAAATATCTTACAATATTTACTTGATCAAATTTTTCAATAACTAGTGTCATTTGAAACTCATACCTTTAATGTTGTTGGATGCAAAATAGTTGAAGTCGTTTAAACAGATAGTAGACTATCGTGATATGAACATTTCGCAGTTCTAAAGAGAGATAGTGTAATGAAAGAAATAATTTCTAGAGTATCATATTACTGTTGTATAGGGAAAATCATTCATAGTTTTGTATTTTTTGATTTTACTGGAATGAAATTAATATTTGTTTCTGACATTGTAAAATTGAGAATGATGATTAATCCTTATAATGTTTTCTAATCCAGTTAAACTCGACGACATTGTTCAAACAATGAAACTTAGTGTTGTATTACATTGTTTTATATTCATTCCTTTTAGTATTAATGTTAAAGTCATGTATAATGATGATGATTTAGATATTGAAATAACTGGTGGAGTATTACCTAGTGGATCATCTATTGCTGGTAAACATTTTCGAATTAGTTCGTTTTATTGTCGGTAATTTTTCAATTTTTAATTAAAACTAAGCGCACTTATAAAACAAGTTACATTCATTTTAACTTTATAAAAATTTAAAGGATATTCTCAGTCATCAGTATAAAAATTTGTATGATCAACTTTATTACAGTAAAATACGTACAGTTTAATTGATATACTAAAACTTTAGCGAAAAAGAATAAAAATATATTTTTTGATTTTTTATTCAAGTACGAAAAATTGACGATTGTAAAAAACGATTATTTGAAGAAAATGATTTGATTGAAGATGAACATAGTTATGTCGATGATATAACAACAATTAAAGGTAAGTTTTATTTTAAACTATTATTTTCTATTATGCACAACTATTATCATATCTTATTAGAAACAAATAGAAAAAAGCAGAAATTACATACAATCGATGTTCTATCAAACAAGAAAAGTATGTTATTCAAACTAAGAAATTAAATTTTATTCATTGAATTAATTATTCTTTTTCTAGATGAATTTACACGTTATCATCGTACAATACCTAATAAATCATTTGTTGTTCTAACAAGTCATTCTAATGAAAGATTTTATCTTGAATTAAATGATGACGACAATTATAAAGTATGTGCTATTTCATTGAAAATTTTTTTTTCTTTTTTTATTAAAAAATATTAAAATTATTTTAGTCTTTGGCAATAACAACGAATAAAACGCAAAGTTTATTGAAAATTTCGATTGATGAACTCATGGATCAACACGTTCGCAAAGTAAGAACACTAACTTTAAAAATATTAGATTTATATTTAACAAAGATGCTAAAACGGTAATATGATAGCGTTTTTTTTCAAATTTTATATTAATCTAAGACTGTTTTAGTCAATGTAAATATAACAATGATAATTTTTATATGTCTTTATTTTTCTTTATATATAGAAATTGGATGAGATTAGTGCTGAAGTTGATAATATTATAGTAGGACAACAAGGGTATGATTTAACACGTATTTATTCCTATTTTATTCACAATTCATATATTTAATTAAAGCTAGAAACTGTTTTTTAAGGCAAATAGTGGAATTTTTTACTCGAATAATTTGTGCTTGGAAAGTTATTTCTCTTCTTCTATTTTTTTAGTAAACAATTAGAAACCAATGATTTAGACTTTGAAGAGAAAGAGTTGTGGGTAGATAAATTTGCTCCAAAAGATTTTTGTGAATTATTGAGCGATATTGTAAGTATATCTGTAGAATATTTTTTTAAAATTGATGTTTTGTTTTGTGTGTTTAGGGAATCAATCGAACATTGTTAGAATGGCTTAAACTTTGGGACTATTTAGTATTCAATAAAGATTTATCGCATTTTCGACAATTACAAAATCGACAATACAATCAAAAGGAAAATAATAATTCAATAAAACAAGTAAAAAAATCATTTTTTCCATCTGGTGTGCAATATGAATTAGATTCGATTAAACGACCTCAACAAAAAGTTGCCTTATTATGTGGTTCACCAGGTTAGTTTACACTTTCATATGTTAATTTTTTTACTAAGAGTATCAAATTTTATAATTATTTTTAGGATCGGGAAAAACAACATTAGGTTAGTTTGTTAAAGAAACAAGAAGATTAAAACAAATAATATTGATAATATTTTTAGCTCAAATTGTGGCACGTCATGCTGGATATAATATTATTGAAATGAATGCCAGGTAAGTCGAAAATATGCTGTAATCTATTTATTACATTCTTTTTTTATTGTTTTTCTAGTGATGATAGAAGTATTGAAGCATTTCGAACACGTATTGAATCATCAACACAAATGCGGGAAATTTTAAATAAAACTTATCGTCCAAATTGTTTACTCATTGATGAAATAGATGGAGCTCCAACAGTCCGTATTTCAATAAAAATTTCTAATATTAAACGTTTAATTATTTATTTTATTTTTTGTAGCAATCTATTCAATTATTAGTCGATTTAATTAATCGAGAACACGGGACAACAACAAAAAATAGCAAAAATAATTCATTTATGTTATATCGACCGATTATCTGTATTTGCAATGATTTGTATGTGCCAGCGTTAAAATCATTACGACAAATAGCACTTATACTCCATTTTCCACGAATTGATCATCAATCATTAGCTAAACGATTAATGATAATTGCACAACAATCAAATATAACTGCAGATTTAAGTGCTATAACGAGTCTATGTTTGAAATCTGTTTGTGATGGTGAGTCTATTCATTTATTATAGTGTTTATTTTATTTTCATTTAATTCATAATATTTGAATATTTCAGTACGTTCATGTCTACATTTTATGCAATTTGTTGCAAAATGTGGTACACGAATAGATCGAAAACTTGTCGATAGTTCGATAATTGGTGTCAAAGATTCACAAAAAAGTATGTTTGAAGTATGGAATGAAATTTTACAAGCACCATCATCAAAAACGTAAGAATTCTTAACAAAAATATGCAATTTATCCAGTATTTACTCTATTTTCACTTTCAGAAATCAAACATCACTCGTACTAGAAGATCCATTAATACGAATGCAAAAAAAAAATTCGACAACAGTAACACGGTAGTAGTAGATCTATCGTACTATTATTAATAAATATAATTATCATATCCTTCTTTTTATTTTAGGCGTTTACAATTGATCGAAATGATATCAAATTTAGGAGGTGGAAATGATCGATTATATGACGGATTATTTGAAAATTATCTCACAATTAATCATCGCGATCGAAAATTATCATCGGTAAGTGATTTTTGAAAGAAGAATACTTTCCCTTGCAATTACCTTTACCAGATAAAATCGGAACCATTTTTGTTTACTGTACAGTTGGCTTATGCCAATAGTTGGCTATTATTTTATGATATTCTCAATAAAGAAGTATATGCACAACAAAATTATTTTTTTTGGCAATTTCTTCCCTATACAGCTCTTACATTTCATCTATTGTTTGCATCAAATCAACCTGTTCAAATAAAATATCCACAAAAACAAGTCGAGGTAAGTTGAAAACATACACAAGTTTGGGTACTTGTATATAATGTTTGTGGTGAACACAGGATTGCCAGCTCAGAAGATTAGGAAGTCGGAAGAAAAGTCATGAATAACAAAAAGTCAGAAAATGTTTATTTTGTTCAAAACACAGGAGAAACGATTAAAGCTTAATTTTTTCTAAAATGAACATTATTTTTCTTTCTTTTTTTCTTTCTTTGTCCCGTATGGCCTATAGATAAAAGAGATCGATCTGGTTTGTGACCATCTGTAATTACATAATATCTAGATGTTCAGATATTAGGACATTCTGGTATTCAAATGTTTAGATATTTAGATATTCAGATGTTAACATCTTCGGTTCTTCAGATATTTTAGATGTACAGATGCATAGATGTTCAGATCTTCAGGCATCTTCCGGGATCTATTCTAACCTTTCTTTCATGGTGGTGAATATCAGGGAGGAACTCACTCTCATCTCCCAGCCCTCCCTTCACCGCCTTCCCTTTTCCCCATTTCTAGAAGAATGCATATTTTCAATTTATACTGGAAAAAACCACGCTTTTGTGCTTTTTTACCTTCTCAGAAAAATACACATTTTGAGTATATGCTAGAAAAACAAGCTTTTCTGCTTTTCTTTTGCCATGATTATATGTATTTCTGTATTTTTTTCACTTTTGAAGACCGATCTGAATATCTGATAATCTTTCCCAAAAAAATCATCAGTTTTTTGCAAAAATCATAATTGTGAAAATCAGACCCTACTGAGATAAAATTCCATTTTAACTTTGCTTAAACAAAACTGCAAGTAATGTAGACATGTGTGGATTACGTCGGCCCTTTTTCCAACACACATCTTCTCCAGTACAAATAAAAGAAACTTAATCAGAAAACATAAAAAGATTCTGATAAATCATAAGAGGTGGCAATCCTAATTGACCACTATACAATTATCTGAGAAAGAAAATAATGTTTTTAAGATGAATACAAAACATCGTACTTATTTGTCATCAATTGAAACAATGTTAGAAGGTATTAAACCCAGCCTACGACAATATATAAATTCAACTACGCTTGTACTGGATATTTTACCGTATATGATTGAAATTTTACAACCACGATTGAGACCGGTATATCTTTCTTTCATTTTTGGTTAAAATAAAATACTAAATGGTATTTATTTAGACAAATATGGCACTTTTTACTGCCAAAGAAAAAGACGATATCAAAACGTTAATTGATGTTATGATTACGTATAATCTATCGTATACACAACAACGACTTGCTGATGGAGCCGCAATTGTTTTAGAACCGTAAATAATTTGTTTTAGTTTTTTATTTGTATTAAAATCTATTAGTTCTAATTTGTTTGTTTAGACCAGTCGATGCTGTGGCATTGTTTGCTGTTGATCAAAAACAACGGAATACTCTCTCATTTAGTTGTCGTCAAATGATTTCGAAAGAATTGACTATTGAAAAAGTCAAACGACATATAAAAATAAAACCTAATTCGACATCATCAGCAACAAAAATCGTCGATAAAATTACCAAATCGTCAGTATCTGAGATTGAAATAAGAACTTATTTTTTTTGAAATTTACCATTGTTCTGTTATTTCTAGACACGTATCAACTGTTTCTCACAAAGTAGAACCAAAATTGAATATTCCAATAACAAATGTCTGTCACTTTTTAAAATTTGATTGCGTTTATTATACATTTTGGTTATTTTATTTTAGACGAGAAAAGATTTTTTTGCCAAATTCAAACTTGGTACAAAGGAATCAACGAACACAAGGGGCAATGTAACATCGACAGAAAATCAAACCGGCACTAATATATGTAAGTTATTGAAAAACTTAAATATTGTAAGTTTATTATTCTTTTTAAATCGTTGATAAATTGTTTTAATAGATAAAACGTATTTAAAAATATTATTTTTCTTTTCTCTTCGATTTTAGTGGTAAAAATAATTGAAAAACCAATTATTACATTCCAATATAATGAAGGATTTTCTGATGCTGTACGATGTCGAGTAAAAATGCAAGATCTGTTGTAGTCATTCTTACCTTTTATGTTAATACTAATTTTCTAAAAGATTTTTTTCTATGTCAGATAATAAAAATGTACTATTTTATTAGGAAGTTATCATATTTTTTGTTACATTATTATATCTTTTTGATAAAAATTTGAAAAATAAAATAATTACAGATGAATTTAGTGGTCTGTAGAAATATTTTGACCTTCAAAGCACTAGTTGATTTTGAATAAAAATTATAAACAGTCTCATGATAGATTATTGATAGGGGTACTGGCCAGGTAAGTTATCGAAAAGATACTGAATGCCTTAAGAATATCCTCTCGTCTACTTTGAAAAATTTTTAGATTTTGAGCAGAACATATCCTAGTGTAGAGGAAAGTCTGGGCTAAAAAAATGAGACCACTCCCAGCATTCCATAATCTTTCTTGAAAATGTTGTGAGTTTTTTAAGTTTTTTCTTTAAAGCCTGAAAAACTTCAATTTTATAGTTTCATCAGCTTTTCGCTCTCTTTTCCTGTTCATTCAATGTGTACAAAATGTGTTTTCTCAACAATCCCCTCAATGAATCCAATCGCCTTCAAAACTTTATCATAAATGCTAGACAACATTGCGCAGGTGTAGGTTTTTTTTTTGTTTTATCATCTCTTCTTTTCGAGTTATAGGAAGTTTAAGATTGAAAAACCTGGATTTTAAGATGTTTTTCAATGTTTTTGCTATAATTGGGAAATAAAAGATGATAGAACGAGAAAAAAAATCTACACCTTGGCAATGTTGTCTAGTATTTATGATAAAATTTTGAAGTCGATCGGATAAAGTTATCGAGGGATCGTAATGGAACCAAATTAAAAATCGAATTTTCTAGAAAACTCGAGAAGCTTGATAGCTAGAGACTTGTGACACAAACGAATAAATGCTCAATTGAGTTTTCAATTAGTCCTGGAATGGAGAAGACTTTGTCATTTTTAGTTTATATTTGACAATATTTCTACGGAGAGCCCGAAAAAGGGGGAGGGGTACCTTTAATCAATAGGTTTTCATTCATGACACACACCTTTTCTCTCTTCACATCTGTTGTTTGTTCTTTTCCTCTCTTATAATTTTTCCCTCTATCTACTAGCGACTATTTATTTTTATTCACTAATGAACGAGTCTTTTCCGTACTTCGGTTGGCGACCACAATACATCCATGAGTTTCGATTTTCTGTTGCATTTCAAAACATACGTTTTACTTTTTGATAAATATAGATTAAACCACAGAGAAATTAACAAATTTGATAATCTTCTAAAAGTGAGCTGGTTGAGTTTTATGGTATCTCGTCCTTTCAGAAACACATTCCATTCTGTTCTATTCAGTCCCACTTTCAAAAGATGCTATCCTGTTTCAAGTTACACGGTAGTTCCAACTTCCGGAAATACCTTAAGATTTCTGAAACTCTCAGAATTTGGTTTATTCAAGAAATGGTACTGTTTAGTTCAGCAACTCGTTGTACATACACGAATTCTATTTAATTTTTGTATAATTTGGGCAGAATTGAATTGGAATCTGCCAGTTTGTAGGCAAACATACAAATACTACCCTTTTAACATAAAACTTCTGTTTATAAATTGGCACATCCTAATTCAATTCTGCCAGAATTCTAATTATTCCCATCCACTTCTGTTGCCCTGCAGAGCCAGTTTGTCAGAAATTTTACTATAAGGTGGTTCTACCAAATGAGAAGTTTTCTTTTGTTAATCTAATATAAAAAAAGTTTCCTTTTTTTGACTATCTAAATATACGATGAATACAGAACGCGATAAAAAAATTTTTCGTTCTGTACGAAATGAGACAATGTAAATATATTCACCGTTTTTTTTCGCTGCTTGCCGTACGTAAATATATGGATTTGTCGTACGCACTACACTCCCAAACACTGGGCAATGACGAGAACTCTTCTTTCCCCATCTGATTATTATTGATGTTGCAAAGATAATAAAGATTCTGAGCCAGATGGGAGGAATACACATTGATTTGTATTAACCTGATCTCAAAATCATTTAAATCAAGCGAAGTGATACACCACAGTTTTGTATGATCTCAAAATTTTAACTTGTAATTCAGTTGACTTTTTTGTAGCTTTTCTGTGTAAAACAAAACTATAAGAAGGATGTTTTTTATTTATGAGTTCAAAGTAACGCGGTTTGTACCTTTTTAAGCTAATACACGCACAGTCCACTTCTGGTCTACACCAAGCTCTGCTAAGTACTGTCTCTTCTGTTCCTTGAGATTCGTGCTGTTGATTAGGATGTTTCGCTTTTGTTTATGTAAAAATTTCTAGAAGTGTTTCAGTCGAGTTATTTAAATAAAATGGTGTCGTTTAAGTTTGATTATAATGTGATGTTTCCTAGCCATTTCGTTATGATTAAACATAGTTGAATATTCAGTGTTAGCGCCTATAAAAACACATTGCGAACAATTTGTAATACTTTTGTCGAAGACCAAACGATATTTTAAATCTGTCTGCTCCTCTCGTAAGGCAACACTTGAAAAAAATGGCAATCTGTGGATCTCGTGAAATGAATCGGATGGTGATTGACTGTTTATAGAACGTGAAGTATATTCACTGGGACCATATGTCGATTCACCTCTCATCACAGTAGTTTGTAGGTAATTACAAATGCTTTCTTTCGACAGATGACAAGCCCCCTCGATGTTTGTGTGAGTCTAAGAAAAACTGGTCCAACCCATAACACATGTTAGGATGCGAACCTATGGAAATAGTCTATGCTTCAGAGATTATCTAATCGGAATCATCACTCGTTTTTGAAAACTGATCAGCTAATCAGACTAGGTGAACTGACTTTTTTTAAAGTGTCCAGATTCTCACCTATGGCGCGGTCGACAAAAAAATACCATCTGATAATATCCAAACTGATGTTAACCACGATCAGATACATGAAAATATTCTGCTGAATATGGCTGATGAGATAAATTCTCAATAGCTTGGATCTGATGCAACATCCACAGTGGTTATTTTGCCACTCTTGTCTCACTTCTTACAAATGCATTGCAAACCTAAGAGTCAGTGTATCATATAACAAGACTAATCTTTTTACGACGGTTCATTCGTCGAGATAAATAGGATACTGAGTTCTAACACGTGTTCTTACGGAGAAAAGAAAGAAACAAACTCGTTCTAAAACGTAGTTCTACTTCATTCAAAACCGTAAAACGACGTGTTCATTAGTTTTCTGGTAAGCAAGTTGTTATTCGTTATATACTATACCTGTGTATGTGCTCGACTTTATAATTTCAAAGGAAATAGTCAGTACGCTGCTCTTCTTATACGAAGACGTTCGAGAACAACTAAGGGACATATACGTTAACTAAACTATCGGCAAATTTTCCTACGGCAAACACAGCTGCTTCTTTTATCGATGAAAGGACCCAAGTCAAAATAGGCATTTAAAGCTTATTCGCCGAAGTTGATAAGTGAATTTTACAAAATTCTACTTTATTGAATTAGCAAATTGAACTTCGCAGAAAATCACTTTCTGCTTCTCTATCCTCGTGATGGTCAATAAATATCTAGCAGTCTATGTTAGCAACATTACGAATTCTTTTAGTTCGACCTGCTAAACTCAAAGAGATAAGATTTCGTAGTTTGTCCCTCCAGAACTATTTTAAAGGGATTGATTCTGTAAACTTTCTTTTCGATGGATCAATCCTAGATGGGTTTCGTATCTTCGTTTAGTACTACTATTGACCTTCAAACGTCATACCTAATTTCGAAGAAAATGGATGTCGTCATACGTGAAACATCTTCGCAAATATCAGCTCAAAAAGTATCGACAATTCCGAAAAAGGTGCCACCACGTGTCTTGAATGCATCATCATCACCATCTTTGAAATCAAAAATGGTTCTTCGTAAATGGAATTGTAATATTTGTTATACAGAAGAAGCACCGCAACCCGTTGAACTACCATGGTGAGTAGTCAAATATTTATGATCCGACGTTCCTACTTGATCTAAAGGCTCGCTCTAACGAATTTACATAATATTTCTATATTTTTCTAGTTGTCATGTGATATGTTTAACGTGTTTACGTAAAATAGTTGAATTATCAGCATTGACTTGTCCGTATTGGTAAGCGCTTACGAATTATTCGATGTTCTCTACATCTCTCGTTTGTCATCTAGTCGTTATCGTTTATCAGTATGGTTACGTCGAAATAAAGATTATGAAAAACTCGTTATTGAAGTACCAAAAGAAAAATATTTTGGTCGTCCTCGTGGTCGTCCACGATTAAATAAAAAAGCAAAATTAGTTAAAAAAAGTAGAAACATTTTTCGAGCTCATCGCCTTCATCTTGTCTAGTTAATCTTAACTCCTTTCGATTTTTCTAGCCGATAGTACTTATCCAAGACATCGTGTTTATAGAAAACCAAAAGTTCTGAATTATGGTTAGTTGATTTGATAAAAAGACGCTTAAAATAAAAAACTAAGCATATTTTTGAAATTTTAGATGATCCACAATCATTAATTGAAAACGATCGTATTTTTGCTCGGCGTCTTGCACGCGAACAAGTAAATGTCTTTTTTTTGTTCTTTCCATTCGTTTCTTATTAGTCTTCTCATATGTATCTATATTCTACGATGTACATCTTTAACGTAAGGTCACCACTCTTCACAATACCACCAATATGCGGTACACACACTCTGTCAGGCTCTCTAACATTTTGAAAAAAGGAGATGGTTTATTCCATTGATGACCTGATGAGGTGTCCGTGGCGTGTTTAGAAACGTACGAAGCAAATGAGAAACAAGAATAGGTCATAGAATTTTGTTCAAGTCTTTTGTTCATTTATCTGGTCCAGTAATAACTGTGCATACTGTGTAGTATATCCCGTTTGTTTTAAAAATTCAATTGTATGGGAACGAGGCTACGCTTCTCGAATATTCATTTACGAGATTGTGACTTGAGTAAAAGAATAAGAACGTTATAGTTCATCTTCCCATACTAAAAATTCCAGAGATTTAAATAATACGAAACTAACGGTTGGTCTAGAGGAAATTGGTCACTTTTTGTTTTTAATTTTTCTCAGCCGTATTTCATCCATTTACGTTAATTCATATGCCATAAGATACGTCTTAAAATTATCTACAAAGAACATATCAAGTGTTTTATTGCAACATGTAAAAGCAAACAGTTACACGAAAAACACTAGAAATCTTGGAAATAATGAACTTTCTAACTGAAAAACCAGTTTTATCGGTTTTTCTCTTTTGTCTGTTGAGATATAGAAAACTCTAACTAGACATTTTGTAGTTCTTGAAAAACTCTATCATTTAGCTAAAATCAAAGTTTTACCACAGGAAGCTAATTACATAAAGTTTTTTCTTTTTACTTGTTTTCACAAAAATCATTGGTTTTACATAGTACTTTACATTGCGCAAAACTGGCATCACTCGTGCAAAATCAAACATTTTGGCTTCAAGCTTTTTCGTATTGTACAGAAAAATGATATGTCGTTTATATCCATATATGAGAAATTTCATAACTTTCTTTCTTTCAATGTGCCGAGTTGTAAGATGAACTTTTCTCTGCTATCCAGTGGATTTCAAGAAAGTTACCCTTTTATCATAACACTAGATTTGGTCGGAATCCATCATACACCATGAGAAAGAACACACTTGGCAGCATCAGAAAATTTATTCTGATGTATCTTGACGACCACATAAGCGTTTGAAAATGCTTGAATTCGTTGAAAATACTTTAGAAAGTTGATTATTTCAAAGATTTCTAGTGTTTTTCGTGTAATCGTCTAGTTTTACATTTTATAATAAAACATTCGATTCGTTCTTTGTAGAGAATTCCAAGATCCATCCTGTGAGGTATGAATTAGCTCGAATGGATGAAATACGTTTGAAACAAAAAGTGACCAATTTTCTATAGACCAACCGTTATAGATACTTTATTCGAACGAAAACGATGACTCTGTTTTTTGTTCATTCTAGGAAAAAGAATTTTATCGTTCATGGCGTTTTCGAACACGTTCAATGAAAAAATCAGAACATTAAATTGCAAAATGACAATCCAAAGAGTTTCATGTATGTTTTATTTTTCTTAGTTTAGATTAAAAAAGGTTGTATCGGTGCACCTTTTGAAACATTATACGGTGCATCTTTTGGTTTTACAACGAAAATTAATAGTATTTTTCTTCTAATCAAATTAATTTTTATTAAATTTTTGTTGTATAACCCTATTTAATTACTGAGTTCTTTTCATCTAGTCATAGCAGACAATTTTTTTGTACTCTGCTTTTTTGTTATCGTATTTATTATATATAAAATATATAGGAGTGCGTGTCTATATAAAAAGTGAGCTCTAAACATGAATTGTCTTCTCTAGTATTGCATTCTTTTTAAGAGAGAACGGGATGCTATTCTTGATAGAAGCCAATAGATTTAGGGTATGAAAGATAAATTCGATACGGTTTATTTACACCGACTTGTTAAATGAATCAAAAATGTCGTAAAAATGAGTACACTTGTTGTATTCATAACATATGTAGCAATATTTTTCTACGGTAACTGAATGTAAATTAACTATGAAATTCGACTCATCTAATCTTATTTTTCTAGTTTCATTCAGTATTTTGTGAAAACGTCCGAGGTCACATCCGTTCTCCGAAGGAGATGAAAGTTTGAAGTTTATTTTTATATAGAGAATCCTAGGAGAAAATGGATCTTGGAAAATGTTGAGGTTTACATAGTCTTAATTTCTTGTTAATAATAGACAAGGATGTTGGTATGGTAAGGCTGTAGAAATATAGTCGTGCCAGTTTTTTTGCCAGAAGGCTTGCTGCCCCTAGTAAAAGTCACGGAAGTTTTCACACTTTTGGCTCCACAGGAACAACGCTGACAAACTATTTTTATTATTAGAGCTAATTACCAATTATCAATATTTGAAACTTGATCAAAAAACATTTTAACTAAGTAAGTGCTTTATTGATGCACGAAAAATGAAATTTATAGTACGAATCGTTGTGCACGTACTGTTCGACTAACATTACTCTGCGTTTATGGTAGAATTTCAAAAAAATCTCTGTTAGATCTTGTACTGGAGATATTTAAATCTAGAACTGTGTTGATTGATTTCGGTCTTCTTTGTTGAAATAAACGTTCTAATTCATGTTGTTTAATTAAAAAACGATAGAATATATAAATGATTAATGATACGACAAATGCAATTGAGACCGTAATAACTAGAAATGTATATCTAAATCGAACTACATCAGTTTGTGGTTCTAAAATTTTTGCATTTTCTCCGGTATTATTTCGATTTAAAAGTAACCGTGAGTGTTTTACATAGAGTTGATTATTAGTTGTTGTTACTGTCTCTGTGATGTTTGTAAAGAAAAATGATGGAGTTGTCGATGTTGCAGAGGCCAACGTTTGTTCATATGATAAATGAGCATTCAGTACGGGTGACGTTTTTGTCGATTGTTTTGAAACAAAAATTTTAAGCGATAGTGCCATTATAGTCACTATCATACTCGTGATAACTATCCAAAGTTTATATTTTTTTATTGATTGAATGACTCGTTTGCCAAATTTTGGATGTGTCCAACCAAACCGTTTGCTTCCCGTTATTGTATCACTTTTTGTTTTAATGATGAAGTTCTTGACGATTCTTATCGAAATCGTCATCAACCTAACATCTACAGTCGTTTCTTTATTTAACGACTGCAGGAGAAGTCCAATTCGAATATGGATTAATAAAAGCAGCACTTGAGTTATCATACTGAAACAATTGAAAAAAGGATTAAAATAACTATTTTGAAAATATAAGAATAAATATATAGGTGCGCCGTTACTTCCCTATATTTTCTGAAGGAAGCATTTTTGCTCCATACTACCATGAACTTTTTTGTTTGTTATATCAAGACACAGTGTCCGTCCAACAGTCTCTTCTCTATCCGAGGTACTGTTGTAGAGTTAAGTATGGATTACGTGGATTTTTTAGTTATATGTATGCTGTTCTCAATTTCGTCTAACGGCTCTTATTATTGAACTGAGTTTGAATGTCGTAATATTGTTTTTATTTAATTACATTCTCTCAGTGAACTGTTTGAATAATAACATTATGAATAAAATAAATATCGACTGCACATATGTAAATTATAAGTGTGAAAGATGCGAATATGTCAAGCAAACCTCAGAAACAAAAATAAAAGTGAAAATTATACTATGATTCTACTCTTGATGCCGAAGTCTATAATCTTGGATTAAACAATTTTACCATTCCGAAAACTGATACGGTTAATTCTGAAGCTAGTCGAGATGATTCTGGACTGTTCATTCCCATTAGGGACAGGGAGCGATTTCCGAAAATCTAGTTTAAGTTCACTTTCGTTTTTTATTTTTCACTTGTTATGGGCATACATATAAAATATTGATAAGGGCTGTGTTGAAACGAACGTGTAACAAAGATTGTTTGAATGAATATCAACCATTATTATCAACATCACCATACAAATCCCAACTGTCGCTATATCGTTCACCATCGGTAGAAGTCGATAGGATAGTGTTCAGAAAACAATTATTTAAATTGTTAAACGCGGAACAATTCACTGATTTATATTCATTGAAAATTCTATAAAACGTTCAAAAATAGTAGGAGGAAAGGTCACTGTTATATTAATTTCCATTTTGCATCGAACGTTCAGTAGAAAACATCATGAATACTATCTATCGTAGTAGTTGTTTATTAAGCTACTTTTCAAAATGTTAAAAACTTTTTCTGATAAAAGTATTTCAATACGTCAGTTTTATTAATCTTTTGAGTACGCGCGCCGCGAATTCGCGTCCTGAGATTTCGCCCTCTGAATAGCTTTCGTAAACATTACGTATTGATTATTCAATGAAATGGATGACCCAATTTTGTGTACAGATCTCAAATATATTATTGGTTTTGCTCGAAAATATATGGGGAGTGAAAAGGACGCAAAATAAGTGAAATAGCGAAGGTTAGAGGTGAGTGTGTAATCTTTCTGACAAAAGTTTCATCTACGTTTTTCGGAACCATAGGTTTCCATAATTATTTTTTCATCATTATGATGTACATTCAATGCAAATACTATAGTACAAAGAGCGGCCCTTAGTTCTTCACCCTCGCTCTTCTACATATGTTTGAATCGTGGGTGCTCGTCCTCAATGAATTCCCAGAACCACATAATAGTTAACCTTCATACTTTGGCTGGATAATCTACAGACGCTGTAGAGTCTTTGGTGCGAATTTGAAGTCAAAATGATACTCCTAGACGGAATTGTGAATTTTTTCGCAAAGAACCTCGAATTTTCAACCAAAAAAAAGCCAATCTTGACCGTAAAATAGCTGTATTTCACTAACTTCTAATAGTCAACTCACGAAATTCATATCGTCGATAGAGTAGAGTCGTGGCTGCATTTTTGTACCAAGAAAAGTTTTCATCTCTCTCAGGTCAGGAGCTATTGGTATTTTACGAAAAAAACATAAATCGCTTATGTCTCATGAACCATCCAATAAAAGAGGCGCAAACTTGGCGGGTGATCAGCATTCAGCTTTGTCCACACAAAATTAGAAGCCCCTCCCTAGAGAACGTACTTGTGCCCAAGTACTCCGCTTGCGTAATGAAGCCGGTACTTGTCTTCTTTGTAGAAATAAATTTACTTGTAAGTACTTGTTCAGCGTGCAAGTACTTGATTTTCTACCTGACAAGCACTAAGTGCTTGTCAAGTAAAACTGCAAGTACTTGGATTATTCCCGAAGAGAAAATCGGGTAAAACATAGTGAAATCAGTATGTCAATTACCTTAAGAAACACTTTATTATGAGAGGTCTCGTATCAAAAGTTTTACTTTTCACTCTTTCTTTATATAGAAATCGCTACATAAGAGCTCGCCGACGTTAACCCTTTCTTGCCCTTTGGTCCCTATAGGGACCATGTTATAAAAGTTTTATTTTTTTTGAACTAGAAGGCTTTTAACGAGGAATCTTATGTCACCTTTAAGAGTAACTATCGTGGACTGTATAA